AACTCCGATGTAATGAGCTACCCTATACCTCTGAAAGTGCTCAATACACTGTTACTGACATTTGACTAGTCCTGCTCTACTTGACAACTCCAAATGAACACCATGTGCACTTTGAGAGGTATAGGGTAGCTGATCACATCCGATTGTTTTTGGACGTCTACCTTTTGATGCATAGAGCTTATCTATAACGGGGATTGGTCCACAAATTCCTCAATTATATTCAGAAATTCAAACACATTGCAGAATTGGCCATTTACAGCCAAAAACCGATGTTTTGCATTTCTACTGTATCACACAGACCAGGTATGACATATTGGACCACCCAGAAACATTTATTATGATGTATCCTAGCTCTGTACCACACTGCACCATGATCACACTGCATTTGAGAGAGATCTGGACCATATACGCCACCTATACTACATGTGCACCTGCTCCCCCATCAAAAACATGGTTTTGAGTGTTCCACTATCTACCAGCCGCGGTTCTGGTGCTTGAATGATGTTTATACACAATTAAACTAAATTAACACAACAAGAACGGTGTCAAAAACGCGTAAATTGGTGTTTCTGTGATTATACTGTGGCCCAATACACTGTTTTACCCCCTCAGCGCCCCACAATTAGTGCAGGACCATTTTGACTAATGTTGCACCGTAGATCTACTTCCCAAACATCAAATTACATTGTCCAATCATTGTTTCAACACCACCAGATATTCTAACCATGGTAATACCCCCAGGGTAGATGTTCTCTTCCTCCTCTCCTAGACGCGGCACCACTACCAAGGCCACGATCATTGTTTTTGTGTCCGGTGTGCTCCCCATCACTTGGTATTGATATAGAACTACCCATGACAGCAAAAACCAAGGCAATCGAACCGCTATATCCCCAGTTCTGGCCTGCCCGCCCCCTTTTACCTCGCTAGGGCAATATCCTGCTGACCGTTTACGCTATAACTTCAGAACGAATGGACCGATTCCTCCCAAAATAGATTTCCACCATCTTACACATTTATAAATGTTTATCAAATAGTCAGAATCCCCAAAATCGACCTCCTTCATGTTGCCGAAATTGGGCCACAATTTACGTTTTATACGTCAATTCCATTGAAATGACACCCGGCAATGCGATCTGTTCGTCCTAATTCACAAAACTCGCAAAGTTACCGAAATACCCCCAGATCACCCCGTTTCCCCTACCGATCTACCCCCGGGTATCCAGTACCCCCACCCTAGCATCCCTACTATTATTCTACCATTTTTCCGTATTTTTATCGGCCACCGTTCCATCCCTATTCACCCTGCCATCATCCCTGCCCATATTCCCCATTTTATCCATATATAACCCTGCCCGTTTCAGCGTATACGCCCTACCTACCCGCTGTACCCATTCCCCAGCATCCCTACCTCATCCCCTACCCCCTACCCTACCCCCAGGACCACCCCGGAACACCCTACCCCGTCACCCTGGGCCACCCGGCCACCCAGAATCACCCCCCGGCCGCCCCAGTAGCCAGCCCAGTACTGGCATTTATAATTCTTGGGCCAGAGGAACCTTTGTAAAGAATCCTATCCTTACTAGCAGGTACCTTTATA